GCTGATCAGTTTCAGCAGCAGCTGACTTGGGGATGCCTGGGGTTCTTAAGTTGAATCTGTATGTAAGTCAGAACTGGTGTCCAGATTCAGCCGCTGTTGAAACTGATCAGTTTCAGCAGTGGTTGAATCTGGACGCCAGTTCTGACTTACATACAGATTCAACTTAAGAACAAACCTACAGTCCCTATCTTGTACGTAACCCGGGGACTGCCTATATTCCATAGATGTGCCCCTATTGACATGGTGCTTCTGCATCAGCAAAAATTGCACATATTATTCCCCAGTGGTTCAGTTCCACTATTGCTAACATAGGTGGATGGAGCAGTATGTAGACAAGGCTCAAAGGTTTTTTTCCCACCATCTCAGCTGGCCTTGCCCAGAGTGCCCAATGCCCTATCTTGCCTCTTCTCTGCACCTCTAGGTCAGGTGTACACATTATACTCCAATTCCACTGTCAAGGATCCCTCCTCAGACTCAGAAATGGGAGCTAGTGTTGCCTCTGATATGGGAGCTAGTTTTGCCTGATATGAGAGCATGGTGTTTTCACTTACTTTAACTGCAGCATGTGGAAAGGCAACAGCATTTGATCCTTAAAGTGTCACAAGTAAAGTGTTTGTTGTTAAAGGAATGCTATCAATTGGAATTTTTAATTGACTTTAAAAAAAACAGTTTCTGGTAGCACATCGTTTAAATGGTATACCCTGAAATAAATGTATAAAATTCCCTTTATAAAAATGTTTACAAGGGCTTTTATCCTCTCTTGTTAATGGCTATAAAAGTCTCTTCTATGCAAGGGAGTATTGACTAATTCACTTATCATATAGAGGGGTTGCAGATGGGACATGAAACACACTGACTGCATACAAAGTCCTGCCAACAGAGGTGCTGGAACAATTTGTATTGTGGGGGTGCTGAGAGCCATTGAACCAAACCGTAAACCCTATCTATACTAGAAATGCCTTCAAGCCAGGGTGTGGGGTAGCACACTCAGGGTATGTCTAGACTGCATCCCTCTCTCAGCAGAGGGATGCAGATTAGGCAGATCAACATTGCAAATGAGGTGGGGATTTAAATATCCTGCTCCTAATTTGCATAGAAATGTCCACCGCATTTTGCCGACTCAGCACTTTGTCAGCAAAAAGTGGCAGGCTAGAGGGGACTCTGTCGAGAAAGAAAGCCTTTTTCGACAGTTCCTGTAAACATCCTTGCAGGAGGCATAAGGGATCTGTCGAAAAAAGCTTTCTTTCTCAACAGATCCCCCTCTAGATTGCCACTTTTTGCTGACAAAGTGCTGAGTTGACAAAACATGGTGGTCATTTTTATGCAAATTAGGCGCACGATATTTAAATCCCCACCTCATTTGCAATGTCGACCTGCCTAATCTGCATCCCTCTTCCAATGGAGGGATGCAGTCTGGACATACCCTCAGTGTCCCTAGATTTAGTCACCTATGGCTGCCACATGCACAAAGTAAACTAACTGGACAAAAATTAGACTCCTTTTTTCTCTTGCCCTCCAAACTGCTTTCTGTTATAATAATTTGATGTTCTATTTATAACTGAAGAGAGCTGAGTGCTATCAGGATAGTCTAATGCTACATCAATGGAAGCCTTGTCATGGACTTAAGTGGGTATGAGATCAGATCCTTAAATTGCAGAAGCTGCATTCCAAACTGCAACAGAAATAAACCAGAAAGGATAGTATTGTTTTCTCCAGGAGGGATGAGTAAGTCTCTTGGCAAACATAGAAAAGGAAAATCCACCAAACCATCTCTCAGACAGGTTCTCAAACAAACTGCAACTCAGCCAGTGTGTTCTGTGTTCCTTTCAGAGAATTGACAGTACCCAGTTTCCCAATTTGTGTGACATCTTGCACCATTGAATATGACTTGGCTAAATAAGAATTTCAATACATCTAATCAAGAAAAAATGCAAAGTATTTGTTTATTCAAATAGCAGGTAGATAAAAGTTTGAATTCTTCCTTTGATTAGATTTGTGTTGGAGAGCCACTATGACAGGGTTGATTTTTGTTAAAAAAAAAATTCAAGTGTTCATAGGCGAAAAAAATAAAATCTGAAAATTGGGGCTGTTGTCTCCTTTTCTTGCTACAGTTATGATGCTGGAAAGTTCTCCTAGTGAGCTTTTAAAGAGGTTTTTCTTTAAAATGAGAGCTTTTGAAATAGAGGGCCTGCTCCTACAAGGGTCTCTGAGTCCTTCCTGTGAAATGCTGAGCACGCTCTGCTCCCATCAACTTTATTGGCAGTTGCATGTGCTCAGCACCTCATAAGAACTTGTCAATATCCATCTGGAACAGACCCCAATTCTTGGAAATAAATCTTTGCTGGAGTCCTATGGGTTGTTTGAAGTATACTATGGCTATGTCTACACTCCAGAGTTTTTCCAGGATATCTCCAGTTTTTCCAGGATACTGGAAGGTATCCCGGAAAAACTCTGCCACGTCCAAGGAACGTGTCTGCTTTTCCAAAAAAATGTTCAGAAGAGCAGATATGTTTTTTCAGCATCCCTGTAAACCTTGTTTCACGAGGAAGAAGGGATGTGCCAAAAAAGGGTTTTTTTCCAACATTTGGCCCCGTGTAGATGGGCCAAATGTCGGAAAAGCCTCTTCCAACAAAAGAAATGGAAAAAGGTGCGCAAATTGCGGTTCTCAATTTGCATATCTTTTTCAGGGGGAAAAAACCACACTCTAGACGCAGCTTGTAACTTAGTGCCAACTACACTAAAATAAGAATATTGAGATTGGGATAGTTTGGTGTGCTAGATGCTTTTACACCACAGATTATTCTGTCCTTGCCATAGAACATGCAATCTAAAAAAGGCAAAGACAGATGAAGGGTGGGAGAAAGGATATGAATAAAATTATCAGGGTGACAATAGACATGTCTTGTTAATTACAGCATAGGATTGTTCTCTATTTAAATTTTTCTCAAGCTTAAATTCTCCACTTTCCACTTTCCCCACACTTCCTCAATTCATCCCATGTGTCTTTTTCTACAGTAGTTCTTTCATGTAATATTCCCTTTGTGCCTTTCCCATCCAATACTAGATGCCCTGCACACACAGAGGAGCAGTTCACTCATGTAACAGAGATGCACAAATGACTTCATCAGCTAGTTTGTTCAGATAGTCCTGGAAGCAGTGAGTGTGTGGGAGGAATTGAAATGAGGGGAAGACAGTAGCTTTGTGCACCAACTCAGCAACGGCATTCCATGCATAGGAGGCAACAAGGAAGTACAGACAGTTGGAGAAGGAGAC